TACACGAATTAAAAAGTTTTAAAAATGTATGGAAGTTGCGTACAGTCAGCCACTCAGAACATCAACACAGCGCAGACTGATATGTTTGCCCCATTAAAGGGAAAAGTAGTTTTATTCTTGCCTTGCTCGGGTGTTTTGTTATTTGTAGGCACACATGCCCTAAGCAACTGATTTGATTGTACAGTATACGTCTTTATCTGTGACCAATTTGGCGATTGTATTCAGAGTGAAGTGTCATCTTCAACCTAAGTTTCTTTATCTTGGGCTCTGCATTCTACTGTATCTACATTCAAGATCGCCCTGATTTTTGCATTTTCTGTTGTCATTTCAGCTTAATTTCCTTAATAGGACAGGCTTGCGGTATCATGACCGTCTAACTCCCCCTAATAACCACACAATGCATTTAATGAAACTGTTTGAGGACACACAAACAAATAACCCATAAAATGAAAGTGGTACATGAAAATATGATTTTTATTGAATAAATTTCTGTAGTGTGTAATACAGGAAATAAAGTCTAAAAATAGGGTCCTCAAACTTTGTGAAAGAAAGGACCTCAAAATAATAAGTTATGCATTTTTTGTTGGAAGTTTGACGCTCCAAGCTGAAATCCGTACGTTATAAAGAACTTGACCTAGGATTGAAGTGTCACACAAAATGTGTTTTGAACTTAAAATTAAGATGCGAATCATTTTCTGGCATCACTCATGTCCAGTTCGCTGTTTCTTCGTCACTAGCAAAACACGTTTCATTATACCTACAAACATAAATTACTACGTAACAATATTGTGTATTTTTAAAAATGAAGTTCTCTGTTACAAGGTATTCAAATGGTTTGCGTTAATTTTTAAAATTAAATTTTAAGATAAAACTGCATTGTAGCATTGTTCATATAAATGCGCAATATTAATTTTCGGAAGTTTTCTTTTGTGGGGGGGTGATGGTTAGCCTAGGGCGGCAAATACAGTTGAGTCATCCCTACGTTCAGTCACGTGGAGCTTAAAACGGATAACTGCAGCAATTCTGTAAACCTGGAGAACTGTTGGAAGATTCCGTTGCTGAGTTTCTGAGTTTATAACCACCGAAACCTGATTACTTTTTCAAATTTTATTAGAATTACAAGGGCAACTGGCAGCGGTACTGCACTACACGTTCTGCTTCGTAATGTGCCTTGAAAAGATAATTTGGATCACCTCCAAATCACAGTTTTTGGTCCCGAGGTCACTATATCTTTTTGTTTCCCGGTGATGTTTAGCCAAAATAAACATTCTTTGCTCCTTACACATTTCCTCTACAGCGCACCATTCAAGACACACACACACAACTCATTGCACTATGATTTCCCCAAATTTCGGGCACTTATCGGCAAATAAAAGCTTCCAATTTAAGGTTAATTGATTGCCCTCGCCAGAAGAAACCTTTGTCGTTTAAATACGACGTACTCTGTTTTTTTTGCGCCTTGTAGTCTGGTAGACGTTTGCCGACGTTTCGAAGGTGTTTACTGCCTCATCGTCTTGATGGTGAAGGCAGCAAGAAAACAGAAGTTTGGGCTGTCGGAGATGATGATGATTATTATAATCATCATCATCACTTTCCCACATTTGCACTTGTAAATAATTTATAAATGGCTGAGATGACATTTTAAACGTTTATAATTTTCTTAATTTGGTTAATAATAACAATAATTTAATAATGTTTTCTGTTTTTACCACCAGCCTTATGAATCTCGGGGCGTGTTCTCTGTAAACAGAAAATGTATTTTTACTACATGTGATGTAATATGTGATGTTTTACATTACCTGAATTGTGGTCTTATTAGGGTTGGGGGGGGGGTTTCCGAAACATGTTCCCGTGACCAAAGCGAGTGAAAAAGTGACGGGCAGAAAAATCAAGAACACATTAGGAAGGTGAACCCCAAACCGCAAAGTGGCAGTGCTTTAAGGTAACCTGTGTTAAACCAGAAGCACTCGAAACCACGGAAGTGGTATCTTTAGTTCAGAAACAAACGGGTATTGGAAACACATGTTCGTATCTATACAAAGAGAGATAACGTTTGAAACATGAAAGTACACATTTACAGAACTACGTGTTTGTGTTTCTGATTTATAGATGGCGTTTCGAACACAAAGTAACATTTTACAGAGCGCTTCTCAAAGAGTATACCGGTAATGTAAAGAGATGTTTACCTACCTCAAAACGTATCCCATTTGTTTGACCTTTGTGACTAACTCGTCAGAGTTTCGTATGAAATCGCCCTTTTTACACAAATAATTTTGTATAGTCCCAGCAAGAATTCCTTCACGACGTTGTATCACCTAATATTAAGAATCGTACGTAGAATACTTAATTACTCCATGGTGCCGTGTCCTTCCTGAGAGGTCAACAGTCACTCATCCACCCAAGAAATTCCTAACGTTTTATGGAACCCAAAGGTTCATTACTGCGTTCACAAGAGCCCTTCACTAGTCCCTATCCTGAACGAGATGAATCCAGTCTAATATCCATTTTAATATTATCCTCCCACCTACGTCTAGATCTTCCCAGTGGCCTCTTTCCTTCTGTTATCAGTCGAATGTCTAGTTTAATTTGAATATCAATATTTCAATGAAGGCTTTTTCTCGGTTTGGTGAATGATTCGGCGTCAATTAATACAGCAATACAGAACCTAAAATGGACGTGGACTGAGTGAAACAATACAGTGTATCATGTGTCCATAATTAGAATGCAAAAATTAAGATTTTAATAATTTCTACCTTTGAACATGCCAATTGTATTGTACAAGGTGAAATTTCAGGTTTTCGCGGCGGAGAGTATAAATATGACTTCTTCGTTGTCTGGTAGTTTACCGACTGGTTATGGAGGCAGCAAGGACCTCTGAAACGTCGGTGAACTTCTACCAGACTACACCTATCCTGTAATGAACATGTTGTGGGTATCGTGAACTAAATTTGGTAAATATACGTTTCGTGTGTTAAATTAGCTTCACGTATGACGGTGTGGCCTAAGCTTCCCCTGAAGCAAACCGCTCGTATTTGAAGAGCAGCTGGGTTCTTCATAGACGCTATTAATCTCACGCAGAATGTGGTTAGTAGTCACTTGAAATGTTATCGCTGTCTTGTTCATCTGAATTATTAGGCCGTTTGAAGGCTGTTCTTTTACAAGAGGTAATATTTACTGATCAGTGCCTATCGGTCACGCTGTGAGCATGAAAGAATCATACTGGGAAATAAATCTCTTCTGCGTGAAATTGCGCATGGGCATTAAAGCTAACATTTAACTTGAGCAAGGAACTAAAATTAATCGTGCTGCTACTGGAACGTGGTTCTTGTACAAGTAATACTGCTTTTTTTTCCGTCGAGAATGGGATAGATATCACGCGATGTTTTAACCGTTTAAAGCTCAGTGGTAAGTATAGGTACCAATTGCTTCAAAATTCAGTAACTTTGCATTTCGGGAAGGAATTCAGAGAGCAAACATAAAAACGTGTTGGCTCGTTCTGACATCTTGTTTCGAGTACTTTGGCCTGTTTTATTTAGGTCGATTCCAGTATCATCAGAATTTGGTATTACGTGTCTATTTATGAGATTTTAACTAATAACGCACGATTAGTTAAGGTGTTTAAATTATAAGATAGTGTAATTGCGTCATATTGTGAATATTCTAATAATTATTTATTTTAATCCGTCTTATCACAATATTTAAAATTTCTTATAATTAAGATAATAAAATATCATTGATGTTCCATATCGATTGATTGATTTACATTTTGGAACATCCTTTACAAAATGTTCCAAAATGTAAATCAATCAATCGATATGGAACATCAATGATATTTTATTATCTTAATTATAAGAAATTTTAAATATTGTGATAAGACGGATTAAAATAAATAATTATTAGTGTTTAAATTAATAAAACGTGATTATAAACTTGAATATCCTTGTATTACGCACTACCAGTTACAATAATATTAATTTATTTTTGTCAATGGCG